CCTTTTTTTTTTTTTTTTTTTTTTTTTTTTTTTTTTTTTCCCGCTGAGATTTGTAGTTCAGCCCTCGATCTCTTTTATGTTTGATTATAGAAAGTAAATTCTTGGGGTCACGATGGGGACAGCCTTGTTACCATGACTGCCACCAGTTCAGGGTGGGCTGAGATGCTCTGTGCAATGCTCTGTGAAACCGCTAAGAATGTCACTTTTGGCCATACAGACACTGGTTTGAATTATTCTGGTAGACAGGGTGTGCCTGTCACAAGTCTGAGATGTTTGTATGTTCGGAGACCTTGAAACTTTCTGGTGGGCAGCACCAACACAGGGGTGGGTCCTGGGGACAAACTCCATTAGGCCTGCACCTCCTATTGAAGGGTGAATGTGCGACCCTACAGTAAAGTGGGGAAGAGAGGTCAGGGGAGGCATCCTGGGGGATTAGTAGCCCTCAGTGAAGCACAGGAGAACACTAACGATACACAGACCACATGCAATGATTCTTGTAAGTGAGTAGCACTCACCACCAGGAAGGTTCATGTCTCCTAAGCAAGCAGTGACTTGCTAGGGGGGAAGTCTCCCTTTTTTTTAAACGGTTGCCTTATTTTCAACTGTGGTGCCCTCTGCTGTTGTCATTCATTTTCCTTTTCCTCCCACGCTAAGATCTCTTTCCTGTCTTTCTCTCTCTTTTCAACCTTACACTCTGGCCATCAGTTCACTTCAGCCTTCCAGTACTACACCCACTCCTTGGCTGACACACTTCTGCTTCGAGGTGACTGATTTTCTCGGCAATTTTCAGAGTCATACTAACCCCTCACCCGCTTTCTGCACCCCGTCCTCCCCACCGGTGGCACTGGTTGCGCTAACTGTGAGTGTCTTGCATACTGATGGACTCATTGGGTAGCAAGGGCGGTTAACAGAGTGGGTGGGGTTCAGCTGAAGAGCTGTGTTCTGATTCCACTAACCTGGAGCCGGAAACCCCGGTTCACCCAAGTGCATGCCCCGCCTTCCTCTGTTCCCAGGACCGCCCCCTGTGCGCATGCTTTTCCAGCTCTGCCTGCAAAGCCACTTGCCTAGCTGGGAGGGTTAACCCTTATTGAGAGACTGTACCAGACAGGGAGCGCTCTGTCACCTTTGCAAAAAACATTTGTCTTGGAACCTCCACAAAAGGTCATGCCTAAATTGATTCTAATATAAAGATGGCTAATGTCATTGATCACAATCCTAAGTGATTCATTTTGAAGGGATTCTTAAAAACGTTCGCTCCCAGATTCTTCACAAGCTTGATCCAAGCTCTGTACTCTGAGCACTTAATCACAATTAGTCTAGCAAATCCTTCCTCCAGTGCAGCCTGTACCGAGATGCGAGAGGCTTGCCATGACTCTTCGCAGCCCCGTTGGCTCCTAAAGCCCACATGATTTGAGAGCTTCAGCCAGAATAATTACGGCCTCAAGACAGGGGTGCTTTGAGAAATGACTCAGCTCAGCCCCAGACCTGGGGCAGCCAATTTCAACCATACTGTGGCATTACCTAGCTCACCTGTTCCCGCTGGCTCACGTAACTGGAGCAGCAGGACAGCCAGGTGCCCCTGCAGAGAAGCAGTGCACCCAGCATGCTGAAGCTGCTGCAGGGTAGGCCTGGCCCACTCCGGCTGCAGCTGGTGTCTGTCCTGCCTGTGGCCAGAGCCTCCTGACCTCTCAGCCTCCACCCAGCCTTGCATGCTGCATCCCTCGCTGTGTTGGTGTGGAGCCTGGTCAGTACAAAGTCGTTGCTCTTGTCTTATCTTCTCTTGCAGAATTTCCCTCCCTTTCTAGAATGTCAACCAAAGAGAGCCCTCCTCCCTCTCAGCCTCTCTTTAGCTAGCCTCCTCATCTCCTCGCAAGGCATGTCTGTGACCTTTGGTAATCATTTACAGTGCCACATGGAACCCTGTATTTTGCACACGGCAAACGATGTTTAGCTTTATTTATGGTATTTGATGCTGTAAATGAAAATAAATATGGTTCTTTATAAAGCTCATTGTTTCTTCTCTTCTTTGCCATGGGAGCTTCTAAAGCTCAAACACAGGGTTTGGTTTAGGGGTCCATCCTCCCTAGACGGCTGGCGGGACTTGCACTTGTGGTGACACGGGACTCTTTGGGGCTATGCTGGGCACCCTGAAATATTACCCAGGGGTAATATTTGGAAAAGGTCACCAACACTCTGGGGCCAGGCTTTGGGGTCTCTTCCTTGAAAACTCATGGTACCTTGCTCTTCTAGACGCTGGACAGAGTAGGTGAGGGTTGGAATGACATCAGCTCTGAGGGACTTCTAAGCCACAGCCCCGTAGGAGAGCCATACCCCTGGGAGCGATATAGGCTCCTGTTTTGAACATTTTGTGCTAGTCCAGCTGAATGACAGATGAAAATTAAGGAAGAAGGATTGGACGTTGGTTTGGGGACAACAGAGAACACAGCAGGTGCACTCATCAGATGGGGAGCCATTGCCATCCTAGAAGAATTCACTGCCCCAAAGCCTTTGGTCACTCACGCCTCGTGCTAGGAGGCTTTGTTCACCAGGCTACTCTGAGTCTGGTACCCATGACAGGCCCTGGCCAGCTGAAGTATTTGTAGCCTCACTCACTGGCCTGGGCTGTGCCAAAGGAGTCTGGGCCTGAGCCTCCCCAGGGAGGGGATCCCACCATTGTCAGACCTAATGTAGTTTGGCTTCATCACTGGTAGGATGAGTCACCCACAAACCTCATGAGGACCCTGGACCTCCGAAAGGTCAACTCTAGGACCTCGATCTCCACGTCAGTTGCTGTTCCTGGGATCTGTCTTCAGAGCCATCTCAGGTCATGACCAAGGGTCCTATGTTCTTTCCTTTCCATTCTAAGAAAGATGTCAGAGACTGGAAGTCCGGTGATATGTTGGGCAAGTGACTCCTCCCTTTACTTACCTACTCACCAATTATTTGTCCTAGGCTCTATTCTAGAGCTTGGGGACATAGCAGAGAGCCACACAAAGGCCCTGTGGCTCCCGACATTTTGGACAGTGTGTGTCTCAGTATTGCTCAGTGAAACCTGATGTGTCTTATTTATCTGTGCATGCACTCATTGATTTATACAGGTACTATTTACTGGATGTCTTCTGTGTGCTGGGAGGACATCAGGGGATGAAGTAGACAGAAACCCTCTCTGGATCTTACCATTTGGTTGTGGTTATTGTTCTCTGAAGTGAGGTTAAAGCAACGTTCTCCACGTGTGGCACCCCGAGAGTTGCTCCCTGCATAAGGGTTCCTCAGTCACAAAGTTTGAGAAATGTGTTATAGTAATCCTTCCCATCCTTCTAAACCTTGGAGATGCATAGGATCCATCAGCATGTGAAGTCTCTGAGGATTCCTCTAGAATAGTACCTTAATTCACTGTTCAGTTTGGTTTGCCCCTTCCTACTTGGAGATTTTGATATTTTTTGTTTTGGTTTGTCTTGGTTTGAATATTACATTCTACATCAGTAGTGTTTAGTAGAATATTCTTCAACCCAGAAATATTGCATTGAAGACTTAACATTTTGAAAGAAAATTAATAGAATTAAATATTAAGTGTAACTTCCTAGTGCTAATATGCATACATGCATAAATACCCATAAAATATACATATAGTGTGCATAAAAATCCAGTACATAAAAATGCAATTAAATATTGATTAAATTGTGGAACAGTAATTCTCCAAGTTTTAAAACCTCTAGGAGAAAAAAATATGTAGGAAAAACATGAGAAATTCTGGCTGTATGCATTTTGAAAACAGCATATAACAGTAAAAATTGAAATATTAACTAGATAGTTTGGGGGGAAATCTGTATGAAATAATAACAAAGGAGTTTGTTGCCACAGATTTAGAGTTCCTTGAAAGGTTTCACAGCACTCTGGCAGTGCAGGAGATGGGTTAATATTTAGTGTGTAACCCAAAGATAAATGGGCAAAGGCTGGGAACGAATAATTCTCTTTCAAGCAAATTTAAAAAGATTAAAGAAAGTATTTACCAAAAAAGTATTCTTTCTTGGCATGCAAAGGAATGTCAGTTAATTATGTTGCACGCTGAATCAGGAAAGGAGAAAGGTGAAACAGTAAGAAACAATATGAACTCAGCACTAAATAAAAGAAAAGTGAAACAGTCTTTGTCTAGCAAGCAATATGGCCGTGATTATTAAGATCTAGAAAAAAGCTCCAACCTACCTGCTGGCCCAGGAATCCCAGGATGGGGAAATCATCCAACAGAAGGAATCAATCTCTGGACAGCTTGCGTGTGAAGGAGGATAGAGAGGTCAGTCGGAGTGGGTGGGGTGGGCCGTGCTCCTTTATTTCTGTGAGTGCAGACATTTTTACATCTTTGAAAAATTTTTCTCAGATGAGGTAAAGACATTTCTGCCTCCTTCACTGCCCCAGGCCCGCTGCACACAGCCCGTGTTTTCTCTGTGCCCAGAACTGGGCCAAGCGTTTATTGTGTTCTCCCTACTTCCACGTCAGCTCTCCACCTCCTGGTGGCAGCCTGGAGGTCAGGCTGATATCAAGGAGACCTGATGTGAGTAGCTCACTGATAGGAGCAGAGTCCGCAGCAACATCTTCAACTGCAAGGGGCAGAGAGCACCTGGGCCCGGGCTTGGATC